GCATTTACTTTAACTGGTTTTTAAAATGTTTTAAGACCTGCATTATCAACATTATAAATGGTTTGTACTGAATATTGTTACACAGACAATAATCTCTTAGACTAGTGCAAAATCACAAACTATATAACAATTAAAAAACAGTTACCACGCCAAACTAGTAATTGGATTTCATAAAGGATATTCATTCCTAATTAACATAAATAATAACTTTCCTACATGGCAATAGTGGCTAGTCATTGGTTAGCCACTTTTGGCGGCTGCCAATAATGGTCCAATAAGTAACCGATAAGCAAAACTGTAGTGGTCCGCTCAAAATGTCTATATAGGTCCACTTAAGTTTCACTATAAAATGTTTTAATAGGTCCAATTAAGTTTCACTATAAAGTAGTTCTAAATCAAGAAAAAAAAAACCTTACTTTGCTGAAAATCAAAACGGGTTTTTAAAATAGTTTGTAAAGTAAGTTTAAATCAATGAAGCAATTTAACCCAAATTGTTATATTATCAACTTATAACAAATAATGTTGACTAAACGTTATAATATTGCATTTAGACTAAACACATGATAAATTTTAATGTGTGTTTAGTTCAAATGCATAAGTTTGAACGAAGGGAAAATTTTGAAATCATCATAAAGAAGAACTTTTTGAAAAACTTCCCTGCTAACAACCAACTTTTGCCTGAAAGGTTTTTCTGTATGCAGAAAAAATCTGTTGAGTAGTTTTATTGTAAGTAAAGATCATTCTCCCAATAGATGGCATTTATAATTATAATATATTTAAACATAATATAATGAATGTAATATAGTATTATATTTTGACTTATGTTGAAAGTTGATAATATAAAATAAAAGATCATTAAATGACTTAAATTTGTTTTTTTATTGTTTATTATGCTGTAAGAATTATTAATGTTATTTGCAATAATGTTGACGATTAGCTGAAACAGTTTTATAGCATAGATCTTTTATATCAGAGAATGTAGGGGAGACCGGGGTTGGTTGCAACAAAATTTTAAAAACGTAACTTATACCCTTTAAATATATATTTTTTCGATTTTATTTTTCAGGGTTATAAAATAGATTTAAGTTACGTATTAATCCAACATTGATAAATAAAATATCAAATTTAGTTATTCCGCAATAGTGAAACAAAAATATGTTGCATTTTACCCCGCACCGGGGCGAATTGCAACAGTGCACGGGGCAAGTTGCAACACAATACTTTTAAAGTATAAGCTTTGCAGAGTTCACATAAAAATTACTAGTTAATCTGTAATTTCTATTTGGCAACAAAACATTATAATTAAAAGAAAAGAAAAGTAGTATTTTAGACTTGACATGTACCTGACATGTTTAGTAAACTAATGCTTACATTCAAAGACTTTAAAAACTGAAGAAAGAAAATAATGAGGATTATTATTTAAGCTCATATATTATTTAAACTTTTAAGTGTTTTTTTAAAAAAGTATTCCTTTAGTTATTCAGTAAACATTAAATCAATTTATAAAAATGCAAGAGTAGTTTTATAAATAATATAAAACACAACTTTCATAAAAATAAACAATAATCTAACTTTGATAACAAAAAAAAAAATTTCCAAGCAATAAAGGCTCATAAAAAAACAAACTAGCATTAAAGAAACTAAAGAGTTTCATTACATTTCAAGTCAACAATTATACTTTTTTATTGTTTTTTTTTTTGATGCAGAAGTACTAGCAGATTTTCGCTTTCTAGAACTAATTTCTTTTTCAGCCATAAGACGCTGTTTTACTGGTGTATCTGTGAGTACTTCTGTATGCTTTCTCTTTGATCTAGTGAGTATTTCTTTCCTGGGTCGTGCTTTTGGTAGCGGTCTTACAACCTCAGGGGAAAATTTTGAAACTGCAGATGGAATTGCATCTGAGGTTGAAGTTGATATACTAATATCAATAGCTGCATTAGATTGGGTTGCTGGACGATCCGTAACAAATGATGGAGCAAAATCTGCATCTGAAAATATATCCTTATTATATGGCAATATTCCTGCCACTCTAAAACCAGAAGATATATTTTGTTGTGTAAGAGAATGTTGTAATGCTATTTTTGCAATTCCTGGTAAATCATATATACTCATTGTTTTCCCTGGACTACTTTTTATCCATGAGTCTTGTGCATTAGCTAAGCATTTTTTAAATGGTCCGAATACAGATCTATCTAGAGGTTGCAACTTATGCGAACAATGAGGAGGGAAAGAAAGCAAAACTATACCATTATCTTTACACAATGTTATTAATTGAATAGATAAATGAGATTGATGATTGTCTAAAAGTAATAACACAGGGCTTTCTTTTGATGGCTTTACATGTCGAATAAAGTGGTTTATGTAAGTAATAAAGCACTCCTCATTCATCCAGCCTGATCCATTCGAAGCACCAATGCAGCCATTTGGCCCATCACGAATAAAGTGATCAAAGAATTTCTTTCTTGGAAAAAGAAACATTGGAGGCACACTATTGCCATATGCATTTACGGCTATTACCATTGTCACTAATGTCCCTCGCTCTTGAGAAGTTAATGCACCCACTTGCTTAATGCCTTTACGAGCAATTATTTTGTTTGGTTTTTGCACAGTGGTGATACCAGTCTCATCAACATTAAAGATATTTGATGCAGAAAAATGATGCCTATCTAAAACATCTGATAATTTTTGAAAAAAAACACCTACATTAGCACGATTAAAGCTAGTTGCTCGTGCAAGACTTGTTGCTTCTGGAGTTCTGATAGACAATCTTGGATGTCGGTTTAAAAACCCTCTCATCCAATCAGGACCAGCCATGGAATGTTTTAACCACGATTTGGGAAAAATAATACCATACTTTACTGCACATTCAAATGCAAGCTTTCTTGTTTCATATGGTGATAATCCAAAATAGATATCAGAACATATTGATATATATGAAGCAATAGCTATTTCTTGTTCATAAGTAAAAACTTGATTCTTTTTATATCCAGGATAAGGTAGTGGCATTCCCATATCAACAGCTTTTTTAACTTTTTTTATATAACGAGAAAGAGTCGAGTAGTGGATTCCAAACTTTTTTGCTGATGCACGAACTGATGTTACTCTTCCATCAATAACGTGGCTTGCTGCCTCTATTACTACTTCTTTTGGATAAAGTCCTTTTTCAGTTTTTCTCTTGTAAGTTCGCATTTACAATTTTTATTAAACCTCTAAATAACATAACAATAAAAAAACACATTACAAAAATCATTTTATATAATTTAGTCTAAATTGCTACATTTATTTATATACCTATTAATGTTTTAAGTATGTACTTAATAATAATAATATTTTAATAATGTAATTATAACTTTTACGTATGTATGTATATAAATGTATATATATAAATGTATATATATATATATATATATATATATATATATATATATATATATACATTGTATATATATATATATATATATATATATATATATATATATATATATATATATATATACTGTATATATATATATATACACACTGTATATATATATACACACTGTATATATATATATATACACACTGTATATATATATATATATATATATATATATATATATATATATATATATATATATATATATATATGTATATATATATATATGTATATATATATATATATATATATATATATATATATATATATATATATATATATATATATATATATATATATATATATATATATATATATGTCTTTGAATATAAAAGATAAGTTTATATTCTATGTTTATATTTATATTCGAGGATTATATAATCCTCGAATATAAATATAAACATAGAATATAAACTTATCTTTTATATTATTAGACATATATACATATGCTTTATAAATATAACATACATATGTACGTTACATAGTCTTATCTTTAAAATTATAATTTTTTTTCAAAAACTTCTTTGCTGTCTTGTTATTAAAAAAAAGTCGATTATTTAGAAAAGTGCGTAAAATTAATAAAGTCCGCAGTTCTTTTGTGATTCAACTTACCCCGAGCAATTTGATGCAACTTACCCCGTAGGCATCATGATCACTCTAATCAATGCATACAATTAGCCATATTAAAAAAATCTATTTTTTTTTACTTTTTGTGTTTGAAAAAGATTTTTTTAACTTACTATTATTTTATTATTGTCATATACTTCTTAGTTTTTTGTAAAACCCAAAAAAACATTGAAACGAAAATTAGAAATTTATATAGAAAAAAAACAATTATCAATAACTTTTAAATTTTTAAGTTTATTACTATAAGTTTTTTATAACTTGCGTGTCATAATTATAGTTATATAATGTAAAAAAATTGAAAAATAATATGTAAAAATTATTCTTTAAAACGCATTGTTGCATCTTACCCCTGTTGCAACCAACCCCGGTCTCCCCTACCCAGCAAACAAAAAGATATCTAAAATGCATCTAATATGCATCTAAAAACAGGTCTAAAAGATGTCTAAATTCAGGTCTAGAACGGGACATAAATAGACGTCTATCTTATAGACGTCTTTTAAATGCATTTTATTCGACACAAATAATTGCCTTAGATGCATAAAAGATGTGAAATATACATCTTACAGATGCATATTAGATGTATAAAATACGTCTCTTAAATAGATGTCTAAGGCACGTTTAAAAAAGATAGATAATAGATAATTTTTTAGCTAATAATAGCTCTTTTATGCATTTTATATACATCTAGTATACATCTTTAAATGTATATTTCACATCTTTTATGCATCTAAGGCATTTATTTGTGTCGAATAAAATGCATCTAAAAGACATCTATAAGATAGACATCTATTTATGTCCCGTTCACGACGTGAATTTAGACGTCTTTTAGACCAGTTTTTAGATGCATATTAGACGCATTTTAGATATCTTTTTGTTTGCTGGGACTTGTTTGATACAAAGGTGTTACAGCTGTTAAATTAGTCATAAAAAAGGATTAAATTAAATAAGTAAAGAAACATTTTAACTAACATTACTTAATTTTTATTTCACAAAAATATACATAAGAAACTATATTTCTGCATTGCCGTCAACATTTTCTTCCATGTCGCCGATATCTAAAATATACATTAATGACATTTAAATGACTTTAAAAGACATGTAGAATTCTGAATCTATTTTTATGAAATTTTATATATATATATATATATATATATATATATATATATATATATATATATATATATATATATATATATATATATATATATATATATATATATATATACACATACAATATCGGACAAAACCAGTGCAACCAAATGATGCTAATTTAGTTTCTTTGTATAAAAGGGCTGCATTTTTTCAATTTAGAGAAATAACTATGTAACTGTTTAGAGATTTAGAGACAACGTTCTTCAAATTTTATTCATCACAAAGTTCATTATTTGTACACGAAAATTAATAAATTAATCAAAAGAATTAAAAAAAGTTGATTTCCTTCTGCACAAAACAAGTGCAACTCCACAAAATGTTGACCAAGCTGTATTTTGCTATCAATATTTTGTGGTGAATCCTTTGTTGTCGATCACAGCCTTGCATCTTTAAGGCATAGATTCGATCAGGTGATCAATGAAACTTTGTGGAATCGCTGCCTAGGCCTTTTGGATTTGTTCAAACAGTTGATCCTTATTACAGACACATTCATGATTAACTCTGCGGTTAACGATCTCCCAAAGGTTCTCGATAGGGTTGAGATCCGGATATTGAGGCGGCCAATCCATCACCAATAGATGGTTGTCTTGAAACCACTGCTTGACTACTTTTGCAGTGTGCTTGGGATCGTTGTCATGCTAAAAAACCTATTTTATTGGTATATTAAAAAACTTCTGTGACGTTGACATGGACCAGACTTGAGAAAATGAAACAAACCAAAAAAGTTGCACTTGTTTTGTATGCTGCAAAATGGCACTTGTCAACAAAATTCTGCCTGTGTGCTGTCACCTGTCAGCTGATTGCTCATATCATGGCATGCTATGACTCCAGACTCCTGAACTGTTTGCTGTGGTAGTATATAGTATAGTTCGTTTCATTTTTAAGACATATAAAATTAGGAACACTTTTTAGCATTGTTCGATGTTGGTTGCAAATGTTTTGTCCAATACTGTATATACACATTTATACATGTATATATATATATATATATATATATATATATATATATATATATATATATATATATATATATACATGTGTATATATATATACATGTGTATATATATATATATATATATATATATATATATATATATATATATATATATATATATATATATATATATATATATAATATATATACAAGAAGATTTGTCCATTAAGATTGTTGTTTATTATTGTATCTCAACCAGATACAATAATAAACAACAATTTTTTTATGAAAAAACTAAAGGAACTTGTATTATGGATACAAAAATTCTAGCATGACACAAAAAAAGTCGAAGAATATCTTTTTAATACAGATATCAGTTTTGTAAATACTATTAAAACTAACCTCGTAAAACACTTCATATATTTACTATATTTTCTAAGCTTATCTTTTCCCCATTTCCTTTTCGATTAAATTTGGACTGTAACTGATTCGAAAATAACCTGATAAATATTTTAACAATAAACTGAAATATATTTATAAAGATTTTTATTTTAATATATGTAATAAATTAAAATATATTTTAATATATGAATGCTTAAAATTATGAAAAGTAAAAACATTAAATTTGAAAATAAAATGCAACATATTGAGTCTAACATAAGCTAGTTATTTTAGTTCATTTACAAATACTTTTCATTTAGATTCTAAACTAGTAAACCAAATTTAAACAAACTTATTAAAAATTAAGATAATTAGATTATACCAAATTAGTATACTCGGTTTTATCTTTTAGTTTATTATCCAGTGTAACCACTTCGTCCACTGATTCTAGCAACTTCACCCCAGTAGCCTGAAACTTAATTTCTATAACTTCTTTTAAAAGAACTTTTATTTCTGCAAGCTTGTTGAGAATAACATTTTGCATCTCTATAAACAAGAATAAAAAGATTGATTAACATATTTAGCTCATAAAACCAAATAGCAAAAACAATGAAATAAGAACTTCAAAATTCAAATTATGCTTGAGCAACTCAAACTAAAATTCCAAAAATACATGTAAGTTTTTTTTATTACTCCATCGCAGAAGTTGCCATAATATTTTGGAAAACCTACTTTTTAAATCAGCTAAAACTTTATCCTGTAAAAGGTTACGATATTAAAGAATTTTGTTTAACTACTAAAGGTAAAATGCTACACCCATGATTTATCGGATCACAATATTATAAATAATCCATTTCTATTCTTTTATACCTATCTTTTTTTGTATTAAAATAATACAACTATTTTAATACAAAAACAAATAAATAAAAAAGATCACATTGTCTTTGACAATGTGAGCTTTGTTTTGTTTTATTCTGTTCATCAATAAAACGTGAAGAAAAATTATTTTCTTCAATCTTTGAATCTGATAACAACTCTATTCAAAAGAAATAACGATGCTTAGAAGTATAAATAATCCCTCAACCATACCTGTTACTTAATTTAATCTTTTAACCAATTTTGTACTCTTTCAATTTCTGAATTTAAACAATTTCAGCATGCTTTCAATCAACTTTCAATTTTCATATCAAGTTGATTAAAGGATTATTTAATACAACAGAATGTTGTCAATCATTTAAATATATGTAACCAATTTAACAACATTACAAATAACAGGACACCCAAATAGTTAAAATAAAAATCTTAGTAATACATAAAAAAGACTAATAGCTAGATAGATATTATTCAGATCAAATTAAACAAGAATCTATTTCAGTTTATAAACCATTAAAAAAAAAAATGATATTTGTGTTATACTTTTAGCGTTGGGCTTATTCATAATAGGTGGTGGAGGTTCTGGCAATGAAGAGCGGTATGATTTGTTATTCTTATTTTTAAGCTTTCTTTAACATATATTTCATCTGATGTAGAAAGTTGTATTCTTCACAACATGAAAATGAATCTAATTATAAAAGATTTTGCTACAAAAAAGTAATTAAGTTACCTTTAAAAAAAACACAAAACAAGTTAGATACTGACTATCTGTTACCTTATACTTTATCAATGGAAATTTGTGCCATTCTTTTGTTGACAAAAGGTTGTTTTTCAGTGCATGATTATAGTTATTTTTTGAGACAATAAATTTGTTACTATTTTATGTCAATCCACTTGTTTAGTGCATAATTACTTGGTTAGAAAAACATGCAGAAAAACTTTTTTTAAAGTTGGGTTATGCTTATACTCATTAGGCTTTTGGTCATAAGAGTATTCATTGTACAAAATCGATGACTCATAATGGTCAAAATATTCTTTTAGATTTTCGCAAGATAAGAAATCATTTCTTTTAGAAGTTCCAACATTCGATTTTTTTTCTATATGTACTGATGAAAATTCTAGTATTTTTTAATATTCTTTTTGGACACATCTACTGCGTCTCTTTTCATCATATATATATATATATATATATATATATATATATATATATATATATATATATATATATATATATATATATATATATATATATATATATATATATGATGAAAAGAGATATATACATATATATATATATATCATATATATATATATATATATATATATATATATATAAATCATAAATATATATATATATATATATATATATATGCATATATATATACATATATACATATATTATATGTATATATATATATATATATATATATATATATATATATACATATAATGTGTGTATGTATATATACATGTATGTATACATACATATATGTATATATACATACATACATATATATATATATTATATATATATATATATATATATATATATATATATATATATATATATATATATATACATATATTTTAATTACATTATCTTTTATTCTAGAAATAAAATTATCAACTTGGAAATATTAATTTTGTAATATTTCTGCAAAATAAATTTCAAATCACAAGGATTTTAGCAAACATGCTAAGCATCAAATCATCGAAATATTTTGTGAACTATAATAGCATGTTATTTTATTATTAAAAATTTATCATAAAGAAATCATCATTGATGTCTTCCATAGGTTAAAATCTACATGCTTTTTCGAAATAAGTATCCGCAGGGTTTTTTAAATGGTGGTCATTTATAATTATCGCTCCGTAAAATTAATTAAAATTTTTTTCTTGTTTTTATAACAAATCTATAAAAGACATCTTATAGACATCTAAGTTTAGATGAAAAAAAAATTATCTATACACAATCTATTTTATGCATCTAATATGCATCTAAAACAGAGCAAAATTAGTATCTCTAGAATCAGACGTCTTTTTGATCTCTAATATACGTCTAAAATATATGTATCGGCAATAGATACAAATTAGACCAATTTTAGACGGTCTAAAAGACGTCTATTGTTTGCTGGGTAGATGTTAAGGTTGAATTAAATGGAGAGTAGGGCTATCTAAAAGTTAACTTATTAATTACTTTGAAGCCAGAGCTAGATTTAGCTTTGCGTGAAAAGAAAAGAGCAAATTATTCTGATTAATATGAATGAAAATTAACAAATAAATTGTTTGAAAACTTGTTTGAGAACACTAATTAGGTGTTTCTATTTGTTAAAAGTTATCTGTCTACAATATATCTTACCAGAGTGTCTTATAGAGGTAAAATGAAATGCATATTTATTTAATCGAGCGCAATGATTTTTAAGGTAAATATACGAATGCTTTGAGAGACTAGCATTGTGTTTCAAATATTGGACCTAAACTACTAATGATATTTTAAAAGATTTATACAAATTTTCAGAGATATTTGTTCAAACATTACTCTTAAAGTTTGTATAGTGAAGCACTATATGAACTTTAAGAGTAAAATAAATAAAGATATATATATATATATATATATATATATATATATATATATATATATATATATATATATATATATATATATATATATAAATATATATATATATATATATATATATATATATATATATATATATAAATATATATATATATATATATATATATATATATATACATATATATATATATATATATATATATATATATATATATATATATATATATATATATATATATATATATATATATATATATATATATATATATATATATTTTGAAAAATCAATAAATACGAGTATCTCTCGATACTAAATTTTTTTTTAAAGATATTTTTGTCACCAGCGTCTTCAGCTTAAAAGTTATTTGTTTGTTTTTGTTTATATTTCATTTTTAAAACGGCAGTTCTATTTTATGTCAATGGGAAAGAATATAATAGTAATAAAATAGAACTGCCGTTTTAAAAAGAAAATGTAAACTAAAACAAACAAATAACTTTTAAGCTGAAGACGTCACAACAATCCAGCGATAATTTCTTTGAAAGAAAAAAATTAGTACCGAAAGAAATTCGTATTTATTGATTTTTTAAAATAATAATTTACATACTCTTATACATGCTTTCTACAATTAAATGTGCTAAATTTATTTTGCAATAATTTTTTTACAAATCATTTCAGAAATATTAGTTTTTTTTGAAGTTGTTATTTTGCTCGACATATTGGTTATTTTGCTCGACGGATTGTTCAAGTTTTATTATTAGTTATTTTGCCGAATACCGAATATTCGGCTAAGCGCTAAACCAAAGCAAACCGAATATTCGACAGCCGAATATTTGGTGACAATAAATTTTGAATGTTCCAATCTGTTTCATTGAAGTGTATAAGCTGCGTGCGTTTTTGTTTCATTTTTGACTTTGCCGTGTCACAGCAAGCATTATTTGTTGTCTGTTACTTACTAATTTTTTTACTATAGTACGTATAAAAGTATCATACTTTTCAAACCATTCAAAAAGATTACAAAAATAACTAGCTCAGATATATGTTGTACTTCTGAGGTAATTTAAAAAGTCGCTATTGATAGATACAGTAAAAAGAACTTTAAACTTATTGAAAATAAAATCTTTATTACAATTTGAACTTTAATGGGTTTATCTTTAATGGGCATGTCAGTTATACGGTGGCGTTTTTCAATGATACACGCTTTTAAAAACTAATTTTAATGGATTAGTTAAAACAAAATAAGAAAAACAACAACAAATACTTGAAAGTTCTGAGAAATATTTATTCAGTGAATCTTTACCGGTGCCTGATACACCTGTGAAGATTCATCTTCACTTTGTAAGAAAAAGTAATTTGAGAAATATAAATGAACCAAAATGATCCAACTAATCTTTATAAAAAGTATAAACACATATGAAGATGAGGAAGAGAAAAGTTCGATTACAAATGAAATTTGTTTTTACATGAAACTGTTTCAGGGTGTTTTTACAACATACCCATACAAATTGTGATCAGGAAGCACAAAAAATTATCCAAAACAGAACTTGCTTAAATTTTCTTATTAATTGCTAATGGTAGTGTACATAGAAAAATGTTTTTTTTGGAAGTATGTGCAGTTTATTTGCAACTCGCTATAATTTGCTATCATCAAACAATAAAAATATTTTTATCATAAAGATAATAGCTGCTGTTTCTTATGAAAAAGTTAAGTTTACAAATGCTGTTAACAAAATATGGAAATGGGTTAAAAAATCGTTTATGACTTTTAACAAGGAAAAATGTAACGCAATGCATTTCGGTCAAATTAACCAGAATTATAGCTACGAATTTAATAAACATAAAAAGGAAACAACTGAAAAGAAAAAAGACTGGTAAGAATTATTCACAATAAATCTTAAATGGAAGGAGCCTATCGCAACTGTAAAAGCAAACCGATATTAGAATTAATAAGGAAAACATTCAAAATTATTGACAGAATTGTACTAAGACTATTGCTTCTATCTTTAGAAAAACCTTACTCAGAACATGCAGTACTTAAAAGCTGGCATTAAAATTGGAGAAAACATACAAAGAAGAGCGATAAAAATTATTAATGAGTTACAAAATTACAGTAATGCAGACCGGCTAAAAAAGATAGGAATTATGTCTTTAGAAACACAAAAAGCAGGAGTGACCTTATCTATTAATATAAATTCTACAAGAGATTCAAAATTATTATTTGTCTAAACCCTTTTAAATACTATATATATATATACATATATATATATATATATATATATATATATATATATATATATATATATATATATATATATATATATATATATATATATATGTATATAAATATATATGTATACATATATATATATATATATATATATATATATATATATATATATATATATATATATATATATATATATATATATCATATATATATATATATATATATATATATATATATATATATATATATATATATATATATATATATATATATATATATATATATATATACTACTGTGATCAAAAAGTAAGGTGAATTTTTAATTTAAACTTCCCGCCTTATTCGAATCGTTCAATCTTTTTTATTTTTAAGTTGGTAGGAATGTCATTAACATTTGCGCCTAATTACATTTCAAACTCATAATTATTTTTTTTTTGTTTACGCTTGTTTCTGAAGTACCAAAAGTGCATTCGGCGATTTTCACGATGTCTAATTTTGTTGAGCAAAGAAGTGCTATTAAATTTTGTTTGCGGAATGATATTTCTGCTGCTGAAACGTATCGAATGTTGCAAAAGGCCTTCGGTGAAGAGACTATGTCTCAAAAAATTGTTTACAAGTGGTACAAAGACTTCAAAGAAGGCCGAGAACGTGTTGATGACTTGGAACGCTCCGGACGACCATCGACTTCGATTGATGATCGCCACATCAACAAAATCAAAGAATTGGTGCTTGCAAATCGTCGGTTAACCATTCGAGACCTTGTTGACACGGTTGGAATATCATTTGGGTCGGTGCAAGCGATTTTGAAGGATCATTTGGGCCTCAGAAGACTCAAATCACGTTTGGTGCCGAAATTTCTCAATTTCTTTGAAAAAGAGCGTCGCGTTAAAGCGTGTGAAGCAATGCTTTATGACTATCAAGACGTCTACAAACAAATTATTACTGGCGATGAGACTTGGGTCTACGCATACGACCCTAAAACAACCGACCAATCGAGTGAATACCGTGAAAAAGGCGAGCCGAGACCGAAGCAACCACGTCAAAGTCGCTTAAAAATCAAGGTCATGTTGACTGTTTTCTTTGATTATTGTGGTGTCGTGCACTACGAATTCCTTCCAACTGGCCAAACTGTCAACAAGGAATATTATTTAAGCGTTATGCGACGTTTGTGTGAAGCTATTCGCAAAAAGAGACCGGAATTATGGGCCAATAACTCTTGGATTTTGCACCACGATAATGCGCCTTCGCACACAGCACTGGTTCTTTGTGAGTTTTTGGCCAAAAACTCTACCCATGTTGCTCCACAACCACCGTATTCGCCCGACTTA